TCAATGATCTGATTCACTTTGACTTCATGGACCCCCCTCCCCATGAGACGCTGGTTTTGGCTTTGGAGCAGCTCTACGCTCTTGGAGCTCTGAACCATCTAGGAGAACTCACTAAGGTCAGCTTTGCTTTGTTTTCATCTGCGGTTCTCCAGGTGGAGCGAGGATTTCGCTCCATGTTGCTGCGATCAATTAAAAATGTTGGATTATAAAAATTGTAAAATAGATTTTATTTAATTTAAGTTTAGTAAAATGATTAATTAAATAGGAAAGGCGGGGCAACATGAATGGAGCGAGGTGCTGCGTTCACAGCTGGGAAGCTTCTGATAATTTAACAGCAGTTTAATGAGACGATCCACGTTTATCGTTACATCATTGAATCAAACGCCGTGGGTCCCCGGGCCCCGGCATCATTACTGGAAGGAAAAATGTCAGAAAATGGCTTCTGCTCAAAAATCTAAACCAGCGTGGAGCGATTTCGCCGCAGTAGCAGGAAAATGAAGGTGGGCGTGAAGCGTCCTGGAACTACTTTGAGCGGCGGAGTGAACGTCCTGAGCGGGGAGAATCTTGTGCTCATCCTTAGGAATGTAAGACGAGGATTAAAGAAAAAATCTTTCTGTCTTTAATCTATAAAGAAATATTTCTTCACTCAAGTGAACTTTATGCATTTTATACAGTAAAAAAAATCACTGCATTTATGCATTTATGTAGTTCTAGTCCAGCTGGTTCCTCTACATGTAGAAACTGAAACAGTCGAGGTGGTTGGTATTTTTCCCAGCCTGTCGGCCATCTTGGTTTAGCTGAGCTTTTAACATTGCAATGATATATATTTATATTTATAAACATGTTTAAACAGCTGTACGCTGCATTGATCACTGTGGAGGAAAGGGTTAAATCCAAACAGTAACCGAATCCCAGGAGGTTTCCCTCTTCCTGGTGAAGTGCTCCATGTTGGGCGGCCTGCATGGCTGCCTCCACCAGAGGGCGCCTCTCAACCCAGACCGCCATGCGGCTCTTCTATGAGGATGAAGATAATAAATGTAGATCACTGCGAGTAGAACGGGTTCATCATGGTCCACCTCAGGACATGTTAGACAGCAGCCCTGCTCCTCGTTTCTCCTCCAAACGTGTCTCCGTGTCTCCTGAACGTTTGGACGTGTGCTCTGATGGTGAACTAGTCACTACTGCAGGGACACGGCAGACAGTGGTTCTCAGTGAGGGGGGTCAAGGAACGGCTGGAGGGACACAGATTTGATCCTGAAACTAAGGAGAAGTTTAGGCCTGGTTCTCCTCCCGCAGCGTTCTCACGCACCTCCTTCTTCACCAGTCGTTTTCAACATGGCGGTCAGACAAACGAAGCAAGCCGGTAGGGAACCAAACAGGAAATACGCATAGAGTAGAGCGGATGGAGAATTGACCAATCAGAGGCCTCCTGTCTGCGGTCAGCTACAGTTTGGGAGGGGTGCAGCAGAGTGTCTGCGTAAGGGGGCGGGGCATATCTGCGTTCACTGCGACACACGCAGACCACCTGGTTTCAAAGTATAAATTAGCCTTTAGACTGAACCGTGTCATAGGATGTGGCTCCGCCCACTTCCTCCATGTCCTCTGATGTTTCTGTTCTTCGTCTCCAGTTGGGGCGACGGATGGCTGAGCTGCCGGTGGACCCCATGCTGAGTAAAATGATCCTGGCCTCTGAGCAGTGAGTGTTCCAGAACCTTCCTGATCCAGAAGCGGCGCCATGGCGTTCCCCTGCCTGACGGTCCTCCTCTCTCCGCCAGGTATAAATGCTCAGAGGAGGTGCTGACCATCGCCGCCATGCTGTCCGTCAACAACTCC